CTGTACATAAAGCAGAATAAGACTGTACAGATAGTAGGTTCCCAATGCTTGAATCTTGTGTCCAATGAATTAGATCTATTTTGGGGTACTTTTGAGATATGCTGTTGAGGTATAATCCACTCTAGAAGCTTGCAATAGAAGAGGCAAGCTTCTCTCACTAACCTCTGATCCCTATCCTAAGAATAGAGGCAAAAGGCTCAGGCCCTGTACAGATGTCAGGACATCAGTAGGCCCCTAAAGAAGTTGCTGCTGTAATGCAATTTCAAGATTTGTCTCACCTACACAGAATATCTAGTGTGGATGAAATTTAGTGGTGTTTTGATTTGGCTTCAGCGTATCCACAATGTCATCTGCAAAATGTCTTATACGCACATTAGGATTATATTGCAAGGAATACAATGCTACTAGTTGATAATATAAATCATTTTAGGTATGCCCAGACCAAGGTGACCTAACTTCAATGCTTTTGAATATAATTAAATAGACAGTGACCTTACCATTGTTAAAGAAATAAAGAACAAGAATATGAAGAGGATGAGGGCTCAGTCTCTCTACAGTAACTTTCATTACTGTGAAAGACCTGCTTCCTTCTACTGCAGGAGACACTTATTCATTTGTAACATTTGGTCCTTTCCTTTTTTATTGTTTAGCTAAACAGAAAAGTCCAGACCAAAGTCATCCTGCTGTGTTTCCACAGAGCTATTCAAGACAGGACAAAAATATGCTAGAGATCCATTTTACCATCACCTGCTAGCTGTTCAAAAACATGAGGAGTAAGATACATTTATGTTTAAAAACTCACATAGAAGCTGAAAGGAAGATAACACTATCAATTGCCAAACACAAAATGGAGACTCCAGTGAATACTGCTAATGGCTATCCTATATTACACTTCTAGCAATACTATTCTGACCTATATAGAGAGAATGCTTCCCTTCGTGACAGTGCAATTGACATATATAAGTTTAAATATTCTTAACAATAAATAGCATTACATTGAGATTCTGGATGAAACTAACAGGCTAAAAATATTTGTCAAAATTTGTTTGATCGATTGATTGGTCTCCAGTTTCTTTTTTTTTTTTTCCTTTTTTTCCCTTTTTCCCTTTTTTTCCCCTTTTCTCTTGTTTTCCCCTTTTCCCTTTTTTCCCCTTTTCCCTTTTTTTCCCTTTTTCCCTTTTTTCCTTTTTTTTTCCCTTTTCTGTTTTTCCCTTTTTTCTATTTTTTTCTTTTTTTTAGTCATTCCTAAGAATGAATGGGATTCATTTTTTAAAATAATATCCTAATAATCTTGTTAAACTACATTATAAATCAGTAGCTGTTAATTTTCTAGAGCGTTGTCCCGGAGTCAGGGCAACCAGCTAACCAAAAGCACAAACAGAGGTAATTTGTGTTTGACTTTCAAACAAAACTGACAAGTGAAATCTATATAAAGGATGCTTCACAGATTTAATTGTTACTGAAGAGAAGTCTAGCTGATTTAGGCCTTACATTCACAATTAATTTGAGGCACAGGTTTCTGACTGGAGTTAAATTAGACCCTGGCTAATTTCACACTAGTCAAAAATCTGGTGTGAAATTAACCAGGGTCTAATTTAGCATAAGATCTTGCACTGCAGGAGCAATTCATATGCTTCAGTGTAACTTGAAAGCATTACCATCTCGATCCTATTACAATTTCCTTTCTTTTTTTCATAAGGTCATCTTTTATGAAAAAGCACAGGACCTTGGAGCTCAAATACATTCTGCTTCTATTTAACTAATCATTTTAATAATGCTCCTTAATGTAACAAGCAACAGTAATATAACGAGAAAGAAGTATATATTCTCCGTTTAAAAGAAGGCCTATTCAGATGATAATTACAGTATGTAGGATATAAAACACTGTATTCTTTAAGTTTCTTACTCACTTGTTTCCGTGGCTGTAACTGTTATGTTGTGCCAAGCAGCTATCTCTCGGTCCAGAGGTTTAGTTGTGGTGATTGTTCCATTATGTTCATTGATGCTGAACAATCTCTTTAAATACGTGCCGCGGACAATAGAATACCTATATTAAAAAAAGTAAAGAGATTCCCTAATACCGAAACATTCTATCAGAAAAAAGGACGTATAAAGCTATTGTCAGTTGAGAAAACAGACCTGTGCATATATACATAAAAATGTGAGCTGCAACAACTCAGAAATCATGAAAAATGTACACTTATAAACATTTAAAATTCACTGCTGCTGAGATCAAAGTTCTTCTTTTTATAAAACTAAATATGCCTTAGATCTATATTAATGTGAACTGAATCTGAAATACATTATTCATTCCTGTTTCTAAGTCAGGCTCACAGCAGGTGAATGACTTCGTTGAAAAGAAACAGCAAAAGTGCCACTTGTGAAATGAATAACACTAACAGCTAAATGGAGGTATAATGGTAAATCCATTTTGTCACTGCTGACATGCTCTGATGCTGAGGGAATGGGCATTAGAAAGAAAAAAAGACAACTATCTATAATGAGGTGTCACCAAGCCAGGGTACACAATCCTAGCATGAGAGATGACTGCAAATGAGTCCAGTGTTCCAGAGTCTTAACGTAAAAGGCTCTGGATGCTATGTCCATATGTGGACATGCACATGAACACATACATACATACACCTCGATTCGATTTGTTAAAGTCCACCCCCCTGTCACAGGCCAGAGATGGACTGAAAAAAGACACCAAATATATTGATTCAAATGGAAAGGATATGTACAAATATTAAAAAAAGTGTGTGCCACAGTTCCTCATAGAATCTATTTCCTGGAAATAAAATCTGTTGAATAGTTGAAAGATTCTTACTGTTCCTGTTTGGAACTCCCACGTATAATTATTCTCTCTTCTATTCTAACTTTTTTTTTTTTTGATAATGTCTTTCCATCTCCTGTTGGCACTCAGGACTCTAGCTCAGATTATGTGCCAGCAGTTGAATCGCTCTCTTACTTATTATTTATAGTTACCTTTTAGTCTGTTTAGAAAATCAGCAAGATGTTAAATTAAAGAACCATCATAACGTAGTCAGAAATTGATTCAAATGAAAAGAACAAAGGATAGCCATTTATAAACCTCTATTTTAGGGATTTGCACCTCAGTCTTAAATATTTTCTTTTTATGTGAATATTCCTCATCCTCCCCATTGAAAGCTTGTTTAGGATTTTCTGTCATTGTTTTTCTTTGCCGTTTTTGTTTATATCTGGTTTTTGATAGATAATTTTCAGAAAATCTATGCTGGATATCTTTAAAGTATTTTCATTATTCATATATTGCGATTTTCTTGCATATTTTTGTTTCTTTTATTTATTTGCAAACTGGGATCTAAAATGCAACACAGCTGTTTTTCTATGTTACAAGCAAATGCTCTCATTTGCGATAGTAATGATTTAGAAATTGGATGCATATGCATGGTGCTTTTCCTAATAAACTCATCTTTGTACTGAAAGTACTTAACTTTATTTTTAAAAAACTCAGTGATGCAATATGCACTTCAGAGTACTGGGGCTACACACACACACTCACTTCATAGCAAACCCCAACAAAATATTTCAGATTCATAGATATACATTGTATTTATATGTTTTGCAGGAAATGCTGAAGCATCTGAATAAACAACAAACCAAAAAGTGCAGGTATATTTTTATTCTTATCTAGTTTGACCTATGACTAGCTTACTAAATAACAGTAAATTAATATAAAAACAAAGAAAATACTATACTTCTGAATCCTAAATTATAGGTAACAATATATATATATTTTTTTCTGTTAGGAATCTGTTAAATTATTCTACAGGCCATTAATTATTTTACATCTCACCCATTTGCTCCTGTATCCCAGGCTGTCTAAATTGCATGGTAGATGGTAACATCAAGTAACTCAATAAGCTCTTTTAATTGTAAATCCCATGTTAATGATACCTATTTCCTTCCTTAAGACACAGAAAAAATAGTTTATAGAATCAAACGCCTGTGGGATCTTCTTTTTTATGTAATATCTCGATGAGGCAGCTATGGTAGCTGTAGGGAACGGGTGAATTTTGGTCATGCTGAGCAGGTATTCCCATCATGATGTTCTGTTTCTCTCTTCTAGCAACGACTCCATCTTTTTCTTTTCTTGAAAAGTAATTGAGAACAGACTGGAAAACCTCAAGGCACTTGTGGTTTTGGCTGTGGTACCCTAGCTCTGCTATTGTACTGCAGTCTCTCCCAGTTCACTGTTTTAAACACTGTCCCATCTCAAAGTGATTGTAAGGATACACAAACAAAGCTCGTTTATTGAGGGTTTTTTACTAGGGGTCAGGATTCAACCTAGGGTAACCTAGGTTATCACAGTGAAGGCACACTTGATAGCAATAATGAACCAAACAGAGGAACCTTTTAAATTTATATTAGAACAAAACTAGTCCTTGGTGAGTTTGGACGTCCCAATTACATTCATGTATGAGGCCTATTCATGTTTTAAGTTAGATACCTGACTGGGCTGTCATCATTGTCTGGATCTCTAGCAGTTACAACGCCTACCAATGAGCCACTCACAGCCCCTTCAGCAATCTCCATCACGTAGTTCTCTGAGGTGAAAACTGGAGGTTCATCAGCATCTTCCACATTGATTTTGACAATGGTTGTGTCTTCAAATGGTCCATCTTCCAGAAAACGTTCATCAATATACCTGTTGACAACTTTTGCCCGAACACTATATCTCCTCTTGCTCTCATAATCCACCCTCTGTTAAGAAACAAAGTGGGATTTGGAATATTTCTTTTTTTCACATTTGAAAATTAATAATAGACCACTACCTGGTGTGAGACTAAAGGCAAAATAGTGCTATCCTTCCTTTTGAGTGTTTTATATGTAGTTTATTTCAAGATTTCTTTTTTAACCCTAAAAGCACTCTAACAATTAATTTATGGCACACTTTAGTTGGTTTTCACTGCTAAAGATCGATTTCCCCGGCATAGAGGCTTGCTTTATTGTTAAAGTTATACAATATTGTCACGGAAGTCTTTCCATAGAGTGTCAGCCCTAAGTAAAACAACTTTCTCTCTTGGTACTCCTATTTCCACTGTGGGTATAAGTCCAATTAATGTTACTCTTGACTATTATATAAACAATGGGAATCAGTTATTTGCAGGCGTTAAACTAAATTTGTTAAAATTTAGTCTCTAAAGGAAATAAATTCCAGGACATAACAAAGAGTTTAATAAACACATAGTTATATTATTATTTCTGACACTTAATATCTGCTCTAATTAAAACGAGAAATATTAAAGGAATATCTTCTGCACTGTAATAAATCCAAATAGAAAAAGCAAAATTATAGCATTCAGTTCTTCAAGGTCTTGGATTTCACTGTTGATTATTGAACTCTATCATCATTTCAGACCCCGAATACTTCCTCTTCCTATATGATACCAAGACAAATCACACAGTAAACAAAAGCCTCTTAAATATCTTAATTCATAAAGCTAGTATATTTTGAGTGTTTTTAGTGTATTTTAAAAGCTATATCATGGTAACGTTTCCAGTCATGCCACTATCTACCTCAACATCTTAATGTTTTTGGGCTTCAATTAAGTTTAACAGGAAGCCTTGGAAGGAATAGTGTGTATCTTTTATTGATAAAGATTTTACAGATTTTACAGAAGAGAGAGAACATTTTCTCACAACAGGATACCCTGTGTTTCATATCTGGGAATAAAATCAAGATACTTTATCTGCCTGTACTGTATTTAGCCAGTCACAGCAATGAGGCAAACAAATAACCAAATGGAAAATCATACTTCTTTCTTTTCCCCAATATTCCCATCAAATCACAAAGCCTGTAGAAAGAAAAAAAATAGTAAAATTGAAGGTAATATAAGGAATACTTTTTGTATATCTTGCTTGCTTGAGGAGGTTCTTTCCAGTATTTAGATGTGTTTGAGTAGATTTCTGAGATCTCACCTTTTTTAATAAAACAATTCCTTCTTGAGTCTCATTATTAGTAATGATGTCAAAAACATCTGCGCTATCTCCTTCAATGAAATAGTTCATGGCTGCATTCTCCCCTATGTCGCTGTCTTCTGCCATGACTTTGCCTATTGTAGTGCCCACAGGAGCCTCTTCAGAGACGCTCATATAGTAGAGTCCTAAAGAAACATATACTGACACAATTTAGTGATCTGCCTGGTTAATAGCCTTTATAGCTATGATGGCATGAGGCTATCAGAAAGTTGGGGAAAGGCATCAGCTTTTATTAAACCCACTGATGGACTTTGGGGTGGGGAGACACAACCTTTCCACGCATGAGCTTTTTACTCCCTCTTTAGGAGTAAATAAAGGGCTAATGAACAAACTACAACACTATGAACAACCAGTGGAGGGCAGCACTTCCTAACAGCATTTTATTAGCTCCTACTGCCAGCCCAACTGGCAGCTGTCACGTCAGCTGGAAACTTCTTGGACGGAGATTTCCAACAAGATTACAGTATCTTTTAGCAAAGAATGAAGAGAGAGGAGAGAAAGAGGGGGAGTGAGAACAGTACTAAGTATCCCATTGCTCAAATCTCAGGCTTAGGTAGTGTAAAGTATGTGGAAAGCAGTTTAGTAACTCTATTGACTCCAAAGGCTAGTGATAAAAACAGTAACCAGAAGTCTTTGGCCAGTAGTGGAGTTTTTTGCTTCATTTGGAGTTTGAGCTTTTCTTTTGAAATTTGTGATGCTGAAGATAAACACAGACCTCAGTGAACTTAACAGAGCTACAGTAGATCTAAATTTCCTCAAGTCTTCAATTACTGTAAGTAGCCTGTACTTACGCTGTTGAAATTTAGGTGCATTGTCATTGATGTCAGAGAGGTTAATGGTAACAGTAGCTGTTGCTGAAAAAGCCCCTGCTTGTCCAACCATATCTTTGGCTTGGATGATGACCAAGTACTGCTCCTTTGTCTCTCTATCCATTTGGGAAGACATTCTGATAACCCCTAAAAGTGAAAAGTACATTTTTATGGCCCTGGCATATAATAATCATATTTTTTTCCCAAATCTGACCACATAATAAGGGTATAAATTGCATCAGTGGACACAGTTATGAATTTACCCTCTAGACAGTGCACAGCACACCTGTCCTAATGCTAGGAATTAGTACTCTTGGCAACATCCAAGGTGTATGGTGTATCTGTTCTGCAGCATGCTTAGAGTTCTGGTCCCATAGCTATACTAGGGAGCAGAAAACCTCATATCTCTCCTCTACCATATGTAACCATTTTTCTTTCCCCAAAATCAGTATTTCCAAGGGATGTTACATATCTAGGGTTCCTCTAACATAAAGATAGGAAAGGCCACATAATGAGCTTTAGAACTGTTAACTCAGAAGTGGTCCTGGGTCCATCTGTTGGATATGGTACTCAGAATCCAACTCTGTTTTCTTTAGTAAGATCATTTGCTAAATAAATTGTTGATTCTCTAAAGAGAGCGAGAGCATGTCTAAATCAAAAAAAATGATATTTTTCAAATGTGGAAATTATTGTTATGTTTATTATTACATACAAATGTACAATGAGAGGAGTTGATATTTGTGTTGAATTGAAGAAAGAAAATATCCATTTTTGCTTACATCCATTCTATGATATTTTATGGATTAATTTTAGATTATAAGGGTATTCTACAGTACCTGTCTTTGGCTCCACAGAGAAATAAGGCTGTCCCTGAATGAGACTGTAAAGCAGACGTGCACTATTCCCATAGGAAGGATCATCACCGTCTGTAGCTGTTACCTGTGTAACAGATGTACCTAAAGGAAAAAAAAAATGTTTTAAATATGTAAAAATGCTCATTTAAATTACTTACTAAGTCTCTATGGGATTATCTACAGGTTTATTTTTTTAAAACGTTGCCCATGCATCTTTTTCTATTTTTGCTATTATCTCTTTTCAGCCTGTTTCATTTTATATAAATTACTTCATAATTACACAGCATCAACACTTTAAGAACCTTCTAAGACACCACTTATATTAGCAAATCGTCCTGCAAATTTTCAGGAGTAAATGACACCTTCTAAAATTCATTATTAAAAAGGGAAAATATTTCTTCAGCAACCACTTCTTTTGTTTTATTCAAATTTTCAATTAAAATAAAAAGAAATTGCATATGAATTTTCTATGATATCTTTACTGATATTGCTTAAAATACTATATATCTTTTATCCAAATTTGCAATATGTGAATGGAGCACAGCAAGATGTTTCCCCTCTCCTTGTAAATTCTTCAAAGAATTTTATGAAAGTTTCCCATATGAATAAGAAAACAAAACCACTTAATCACTGGTATGATCACTGCATGATTGAAAGAAATAAAATGTTAACAAGCAAAGCAGGCAAGAAATATAACAAGACTCTGATAACCTTTTATATTCTTGAGTCTTTAATGAGCCTTTCCCAGTGCAAAAGACATACCAGAATTAATCTGAAGAACATGATTTGATCTCTGGCTAGTAGCTTGTTATATCCTAGAACCAAGATTAGTAGCAATTTCATGGGACCATCAGTGATGATTATCTTTTTAAAGAAAATATTCACAGTAGCATCATTTTATATAGTAATAATTATTTTTGTCCTTCTTTCTCACGTAGGTTCTGTGTAAGTACACAAACAGCACTTCTCCTGAGGAAGAGCAGGAACTCAAGCTACTTTCTAAAACTTTCTGCCATATGTTCACATGGTTGCAGCAGTGAATACCAGTATAGCTGTATAGCTAAGCTACAGGAGAAAAGAAGAAGGAATGATGCGGTGAAAGGTGTTTAGCCAGAAACACTTTTTCTATAGCAAACTTTATACTTATCTCTGGTAAAAGAATATATATATATATATTCATTTCTGATCTTTCTAATAGTTCAATTTGTTAATAAATCTGAAGAAGGCTTTCTAATGTAAGGCATGCTGAACTTAGTGAACAAACTATTTTGGTTATTTTCAGAAGTATTCATTTTTTCATTTTTTCTCAGCCTGCATGTTTCTCTGTTAATTTAGTCTACAGAACTCCAAGTGATTCTATCACTCATGGTATCTTCCCTCAGAGCACAGGTACACTTTGGAGTAAAATGTTACTCATTGCTACCACTGTTTAAGAGAGATGTACCCTTCAAAACATACTTATGATATCAAGTTTCTGACATATATGTTATATATGTGTATGCATGCGTATATATACACACACTCACACACACACACACATGCCAGAAATGTGGAATGTGATATCATGTGTGCGTGTGTGTGTGTGTGTGTATGTATATATTCCTATTGCTTTGGATAAATGTTAAAGATAAAATGACAGATTAATCAGGGCATATCTTATTCCGTAATAAGATTGAAGAGTAAAGGAAATAATAGAAACACTCAGCTACACAACTGCTAACTGCATATTAGGTGTGGTCAATGGAAGCTATTATATTTTAATTACCAAGAAATTCATCCTCTAAGATAATTCAGCATAAAGAGAACACAGTTGTTTTCAAGAAATGGAGTGCTATTTAGGTTGGGATCCAGCAGTGTGGATAATTCAAGGTACAGTCTGTTATATATGCCCTTTTCTGATATTGAAACCTAAATACAAACAATGAAGTTCAGAAATGGACTGTTTATGGCACCATATTTGACAAATGAGGAAAAAGACACAAAAAAAAAAGAATATAGGACTGCAAAGTTGATTATAGCTTTTTGAATCTCACTCATTTAAAGATTATTTAAAGACTTATTTTCTACATAGTTTCTATCCATTACAAAGAAATACTGAAACTAAAATGGCATTTACTGCTTCTCTAAGCTGCAGCCTACTTTACTTCCTTGTTGACTCTTCTGGAGGACGGCAGAGTGTGGGAGGATAGTATTTGTATGAGTGGACTTAGTGAGATGCAGCAGGAAAATGGAAAAGATGAGCAAACACAGGAGGATAGGAAGAGTGTTGGTTTCCTACATCCTCAGTAGGAAGACTTTATTTTAAAATTGGGGTGACAGGAGACCACATAAAGGCAGGACTGTGATTTTTCAGATTTCTTGAGGACAGAGATTTCATGATCATGATACAAAGCTCTAAATTAAACGTGGATTAAGCAGCGGGCAGGAGAAAAATATTATCCCTCGATTAGATTTATTTTTCAGTTTTTAGTTTCACACTGACATGAAACCTATTTTTCTTTACATATATTTAATCCACACTAAACAAAACAAGTCATTTCCTGAATGGAATCATCCTTACCTAGACATTTGTTTTTGAGTGATAAAAATTACAGTGCTAATATGAGTTTCTCAATAACTCTGAAAACATATTTAAGCCCTTTTGTAACTCCATGGTTGGGAGGAAAATAATTGAACAGATACAAAATATATATTTTAAAACAATCAACTAGCACATTTTTAAAAATGCATGTCCTGACATTCTAGGCATGAAATGTCATAATTGACAATCTAATTATGATTTTGCATCATTTATGTGAAAATGAATATGATGCCAAAGAGGCAAAATAACTGAATGCATCTGTGGACTTTAAAACATATCTATTTGAATAAGGGAGTCTGTATGATATTAATATGAAGTTTATCCCCAGGTATGTGTTTTAAGTGCACAGAAGTGTCATAAGCTAGGTAGTAAACATGTTTACACTTTATTTACTTTTAGTTAGCATCTACTTGAAACAGACTACTTTTTGCTGGTTGCAAAATAAGATTTTTCTCTGTATTGCCAGAGCTTTGGTTTTGCCCTCTTGAGCAAAACATAACAGTGCAATTTATATCTGGCAGCCCATTACGTAAATTATGAGGCACTTATATAGGATATAACTATTCTTTTTTCTAACTAGAGCCAATAAAAAGATTAAGAACTGATAGATTACTGCATCTGTTTCTTAACCATTCCATCAGATATACTGCATTTGTACAAGTTTAACAGCTATATGGGAGGCACTTAATGTAAAATCATACCAAATGCCTGAGGGAAAACCATAGTCTTGTACTCCTGGAAGAGTCCATTTGCTGATACACTTTTCATTTACTGTGACATTCAAATACAAAATCCTAATAAAATTTAATACTGAAGATAAAAGAGTGCTAAGAAAGAACTAAAATATATTCTAATTTGTTGTCACATTGGTATGCATATTGATATTTGTACCTAACTTTCAGTAATTTTTTCTGAGGAAAGGTTAGACAGGTTCTCTGAGGTAAGCAATACATGACTGGCAGTGAATTATTCTCTCCTTGCTGTCTTTGTTTAACATACAGTGTTTACTAAGAGTCAACCGCTTTCCCAAGTGCTGCCCACACTTCTTGAGCATGTTTTCTGTAAGAGAATTACCTGGAGATCCCAGGTCTAGCATCATTGAGCCAAACTGTTGCTAGAGAACTCTGAAATGGAGCAAAGGACAAAAATAAGTCTCTCTGTTGGAATATATCATCTAAATTAATTCTGGTCAACACCTTTACTAAGCCAAAAGAAATTCTAGTTTGTGGTGAGAGAAGCACTGAGAAGTACTGATATAATGAACCATTACAATATTGATGTTTCAGATTTTGGTTGGTTACTATTTTCATCTGTTGAGAGGTTAGAAATCTCATTCTAAGGATTAATCCCTTAGGGTGCATATGGAAAGAAGTTTCCTTTCAGAAGTGCAGTCCCTACACTTCAAGAGCCAGGGTAGGTTAGCCCAGAAGGAACTTCATGATCATCTGGCTCAGCTGCTCCAGGTATTAAAGCTGCCTGATTTAAAGCTGGCCAAGATACCCTCACATTATGTTATGATTTAGGCACACCCAATGCAACACTGTCTCTTATATGAAACAAAATATATTCCACGACAATGACTGGTATAAAGGAGACTATATAACACTCCCCCTGTATTCTGTATACCATACATACACATTAATACAGGATTAGTGTACTAGGGTGTATATGGCAGAAGTTGGTGAAAGAATAATCTCTATAATAATGATGGAATTAATGCTAAAGAGGTCAAATATAGAGATAGTGCAGAAAATATTTCAAGATATGCAGGTGTTGACCTAGATTTATATTTCATACACTGGATAATAATGACAAATCTGTGACTTTACTATTTCAAGCAGTCTGTGTCCAGGAGGATGCACACAGGGAGCTAGTCTTATTTTTTTACCAGTTCCCACAAACTGGGAGAGGGATGTTACTCCTGTTTGTTTGGTTTTTACTTCTTCTTTCCCCTGCCACCCTCCACCCCATTTCATATATTTCTACATTTTCCTGGAGTCTGTTCTGTCATCTTACAGGAATATCACAAAATAAAATAAATCTTTTACAGTTTAATTGATTTTATGCAAAGTGATATAGTATTTTCAGAATATAAATATACAATAGATGACTCAGGAGATTGGATAAAGGCTACTGAACCTTCTATTTGTAGGTTATTAGTTTATAGCCAATCTAAGTCAATCCAATTTGGAACCCCTCAGCAGAGAACTGCTTCAGATGAGAAACAGAGGTATAAGAAAAAAAAATTACTGCAGCTGTATTTAGCCATAAGTATCACTCTAACTGGCAAGTTCATCCAAAAAGACAATATCTGTTCTTTTGTTTGTTATTTAGCTTTTTTTTTTTTTTCAAGATGCAATTATCCACTCTTCTATAAGACGGAGACTTTCTGGGAAGATAAAGTAGGAAGGACTTCAGAAATGAATTCTTGATACAGTTCTTTGAATGGTTACAGGTCTGGATGAGTATAAATCAAGCCAGATGTAATTACAAGCTATCTCAAAACCATTTTTAAAAGAGAGCAACTGCCTTATAATAACACTTTACCACAGAAAAAGAAAAAATAGGAAAAAAAAAGCATCGTCAAAGTCCTAAATCTGTGTAATCCCAGATAAAAATACTCAGATGATTCTATGCAACAAAATAGCCCCTTTATTATAATGGGTACATCAAAAAAAAAAAATAAAATAAACTTGGCAGGAGACCTATCTTCTCATCTCCTAAGTTGGGTGAATGATCCAGATACAGAAGTTAGAAGTACCCTCTGATCCACAGGCAAATTGTGTTAGAAACTGAGTTATATCTGACCAAAAGCAAGGCTAGCCTAAATTTGTATTCTTTCTTGTAAGCTCAGATGTTGAAGTCTTGAGGCAAACGACTCAGGGTGGAAGAAAGTAGCAGTGAGTGAACAATCACAGGCCCTCAAAGTGATTTCCCTGATAGAAGCTGGGTAGAAGTAAAGTGACTGTGACATAAGATGATTAAACGGATGTCTTCTGTGGTTGTTGTCGGTAGCAATGGTGAGCTACTGCTTCCCTGTAGGAACTGGAATATTAACGCTTTTTCTGATTAGACCTCAGGAATGAATATCCTTGTCTTGTAACTGGTATCTAGGCTGGCAGATGATGATACAGTTACAGCTCCCTGTGAAAGATTCAATGAATCTGCCCTAAAAGTTGAACAGGTAACACTGAATGATATAGTTTTTATTACCTTTTATGAACACTGATACTATTGAGCTAATGAACTTATTAATTCACACATTTTTAAATAGCACAATGTCAGAAGAGTTATTTGGAGATGACAGTACCTATAACATGCACTTTTACGCCAGCTGCTTTTACATTTTGTTTTTTTAAGGATATATATATGTGTGTGTGTCTCTCACACACATACACACACACATTTTTGCCAAATATTATCTTTGCTTCATATTGGTTGTATGAAGTTTTTAGATACATGGCAGATCCAGGCCTAGATCTCTTTGACCATGTAGTTATAGGGTAGAAGAAGTTCAGGTTCAGTTGTTGTTCTTGACAAGAAAATTGCAGTTCATGTGCTTAGGAAACCTGAAGACGGTTTCCTTTACTGCACACCATCCAATCCAAACACAGGGAGGATAACTGATGGTGAAGGAGGTTTGGCAGTCTAAACAGATAAGCATCACAGATAATATGAGAATGTTCATCATATCAGCCCGACATCAGCTTCATACCATTCTTATTCTAAACCTATTACTTATAGGAAGGAAGCTGTTGTTATCTTTGAGGGCAAAAAGTGAGTGCTTGTGGTGTGAATGTGATTCTTTTCCAGTTACAGTACAATTTGATTTATACTACACAGGGTATAATAAAGGCCTATTGTTTAATTATTAAGCAGAGTCACAGTAGACTGAAGGAGGCTGTTGAGTACTTTTCAGTTCAACTGAGCTTATACTTATGTACTTAAAAGAGCTAACCAAAGTTAGAGGCCTTTAAAGTTTAACTACATACTGCTTTACTTTCACATATGTTGAAGCCTGAATAACTGACAGGTTGTAAGAAAAATCATATATTGAACAATTTTGTAGAGATAAGGCTAGTGTCCTGATTCAAAAAGTAGTGAAATCTGTCTACCCGAAATCTCCTTTGCAGTATCAACTGGCTATAGTATCATACTTATCTTACAGTGTAACACCATGTTTTTTAAACATGTATAAATTTCAAGGCTGCATCATTGATGGGAAAGAACATTCTCTCTAGTCGATTAAATCATGAATTCAGACCAAGATTCTGCAAAGGACTTTGATATGTGTAGCTACTTAAATGTTTAAAGGCAAGTATGTTAAATCCTAGTACTCATATCCTTCAGTTTAAGCATATATCTCTGCAAATTTCCAAGCTTGTAAAATAGTCTGGCTCTCTTCTCACGGAAAGGTAGTCTATAAAGTATGCTATTAAGATTTTATATGAACATAACTATCCAGAAAAAGAGCAGGAAATAAAGAGTTTGGTTCAGAACACGTCATACCTTCAGGGGACATTTCTGGAATGGTAGCCACATATGGTCCATCCAAGAACTGTGGTTCATGATCATTGACATCTCGAACCTTGATGATAAATTCTGATTCAGGTTCAACAGGAAGGTGAGTGTTTCTGTTAATTGCTTGTGCTCTTAGAGTGTAGAAAGGTTTCTTTTCTCGATCCAGTTTCTGTATCACATAAATTTTGCCATCATATTCATCAATGGTAAAAATGCTTCCAGCTCCCTCCCCAGTCAAAACGTATTGTAGGTTGCCATCCTGCTTGTCTAAATCAGATTTCAGCTGCAAGTACAAAACAGAAACAAAAAAAAATCACACTAAAACAACAAAACACAACATATTTTAGAAGGGATATAAGTTTTGAAATATTTATTTTAGGATTTATTTGTTTTCATTTTACAGTGAACCCTGTCACTAGTTAATCTTGGAAACTAATGTTTAAGAGCAGCTACTGGCACATTTCTAGCCAGATGTGGCACAGTTTTAAGTTATTGACAGAACTGACTTATAAATGTATGGTTAACCTAAAAGGCTGCTTCGGCCCCTTTGGAGTCAAAGGAATGAATGTAAGTACATACTTTAGCTCATTGCTATATCAGCTCCAATAGACGTCTGCTGACAACGATGGAAAGGTCATTAGACATTATCTAAATTCTTTATTGTTAAAAATGAGAAGTGTACTTCGTATGTTTTAATATTCTTCCACTCAGCAGCACTAGGTGTAAATATGAGAGAGACTAGTGTTCCGCTTATACTGAAATATTAAAGACATATTCTGCGGTATAAGTCTCTATTATTTATTCTGAAATAAATTGATAGCCATTTTCTGTTTCCTTCCAGGATGATCTTCATCCAGAGTTGTCTTGTGAAGATGAGTTTTACAATCATATTCTTCTGATGAAACTTAGCCCTGGAGACTATTGCAGTCCAGCTGCATTTGTTCATGCCATTAAAATTGTTTTATTAGTGTTAACAGTATGTTATAGCACCTTTTTTAATAGTAATAACTGAAATTATTAATACGACAAGCATGCCTAGTGAAGTTTTATGGGAACAGCAATTTCCAGCCTATCATTAACTCTCCATTTGTTTTTCTTTATTTCTTTTGTGTTTAGAACCAAAGATGTCACTACATAAAATCTCTAAGGATCTGGATAATTATTGAAAAATTCAATATAATAAAAAGATTTATTCAACTTGCTTCTCTTACAAAGCAGAATGTTCTAAATGCAAATAATATTTCTACTTGTTGACTTCAAGAATCTCACTCTTTTACTGTGTTATTAGTTTTCTAAGGCCGATGACATATAGTCAGACCTAACAGCTGTTAGTTTTAGGCCATGATGGTAACCTTTCATCAATCAATATGCTGTCTCTAATATAACGCATATTATCTGAAGGTCATGCAGATGAATAAGAGAATATAATATTTGGAAGCATAAACCATCACAAAAATATTTGCTTATTATAGAGTAGCCCTTTGTTTATTACAGAGTAGCCCTGATAAAATATATAGTATATTCAAAAAGATTCTCAGTGATTAGGTTTAGATGTGCAGACCAAAGACAGAATTACTTTGGCTGACTAATTACTGGACTTTAGAAATGAAGTTAACTCTCATTTAACTTTTGTTCCAGAAATGTAAGTGTAAGGGCACTTGCCATTCTGGAAGCCTATCAGTTAACCTTCATTTCATACTAATGCCGTTTTAGAACAGGCAATATCCATAACAGAGGTTTTTTTTAAAGACTGCCTGTTCTCCTAGTGGGGGGAGCAGGGGTCATAGACTCTCTAGATGGTATAAAGAATAAATGCTTGCTACCCACCAGCTCTGCCCCTTTCTAACCCTGCAGGTTAGCGAAGGATGCAAGGCCATAGAGAGGGAAAGAAGTAGCTATGGACTCTGAACAGCACATTTCCCTGTTGGATCTACTCAAACTATTTTGGGACAGCTTTTGAAGTTTCAAAAATCATTTTCATTTTAATTTGGAGCAATGACCATATCTTTTGGAGATTTTGGTAATGCATGATCGGCTATACACATCAGCTATACAGTTTACTCAGAGTGTGGTTAGGACGCTGCTCTGAGGAACACAGTTTTGAGTTCTTACTCTACCTGTGTCTTTTCAGAGTTTTCAAACCTAAATTAGGGAGTGCTAACTTTCCTTATTGATACCAGAGAGACTTTTTTCAAGGCTATGGACTTTAGAACACTTTAAAAAATGACCAACTTACAGTCAAATAGTTTCCACCTAAGTGGCTATATTTAAAGTAAGGGTAGGCCTACCCCTCTGCGAGTGATCTGGCCCTGCTCACTTTATCGTCATTCAAATTTAGCACCTGGCTAAAGGGCATTGCAGATTCTTTTTGATCTATAAATCTGGGTTTCTGCTTCATGAGCACTAGGGCACAAGAGAAGTGATGTAGATCTAAATCTTTACCCTAATACGGAGTTGTGAGGTAGGCAAAGAGTACATCAAGCCCCGAAAGCCTGGAAGCTTGCCTAGGACTGGCTATTTAGACATAATCTGTGTGAGCCATTTCACTCATCATTATTTTTCCCCAAAAGATTTTCATTGCCATGACCATGTTAAATGAGAATTCTCCTAGAGAGGATATTTATAGAGGAAACATACAGAAGGTTCTCTGCTTACCTATTTTATTAAGCTAGGCACAGTAAAATAAAAGGTCTTCCATTGTAAATGAAACCAAAGAATTTATGTATTTTCTTTAGTATCTCTGACATTACAGTGCTGATAGACACATTCTTTCTTCTTAAACATGGTAATGGAAAAGGATTCATGACTCTATTAAATGAAATTTGAAGATTGAACTCTGAATCAGATTGTGAAAAGAAGATGTGATCTGGAATACTGACAATTAATAACAGAGAGAGTCTACCTCTGTATTTTTGTTGAAGTAGTTTTTTGTAGGGCCTGATTTACTAAAAAAAGTCTTTGCTTGATCATAGACTGTCATAGACTTCCTGAAAGCAGAGCCTATTCTAGTCAGGAGACAGCCACAAGTAAATGTGTCTGATTTAAACAGTAGACTGCAATAAACTAACAATAATCCTCAATTAAAATTCCAGATAGTTTACCTGGAGCGCTGTGAGGAATAGAAAGGCAAGATTACGAACACGGTCTGAAGCTGCATAAAAATACTTGACATTTATGATATTTCTTTTGACGGAAACTGTATTTTCCAGCTACAGGAAAAGTAATAATAATAAAAAAAAAGAATATGTCTACACTTATTTTTTTGGAGTGAGACATCATGCTTCCAGAGTAGCTACTTCAAAAGGGCTGTGAAGAGGTAATTAATGAATTTTGAGCACTTCACCCTTTGGGCCCAATTAAATTTTAGTGCTAGTTAATTAGCAGTTAAACTTATTTCGGTTCATTCATCTAGAAAGCGCCTTAAAGAAAAGGAACCAGATCTCGAGATTACAATTACTTCTAGCTCATAAAAATAAATAATAATAAATAATAATAATAATAATAAAAAGCACAGAGAGAGAAAAAGGGGAAGATAAAGTCTCATTAAGAAAATTATCTTAAAGCACATTTTTAAAGGAGGGTGAAAAATAATTGCTCATTGTGCTAAAGCTACGTTAATCTAATGAACCATGTAGATTCCTGTAGCTTCTCAGTGGTAAAAGGATTTAGTATTAATCTGCTTCATTAAAAATTAATGAGGGGTAAATCAGCTGCTACTTAGTGTAATAGAAAATCATGCTAAATACTGTTTGTAAACTACACTGCACTCAGTGTGGCTGCTTTGATGCAAGGCCAAAAATAGTACAAGCAAATTGCCAGATGTTGATGAATAAGTCCTTAACTTTCATTCAGAAGGCAAAAAGGAAGTTTTAAGCCTGATGCCTGCATCTGCCATGTATGGTTTTACTTTCAGAACAGAGTGAATTTGGTGTCTCCTTGAGAGTTGAATTGTAGGCCCTTGATGAATGTAGGTCCTTCACATTGCAGTGACCCGTAGCCCATGGGGTTTCCTCATCCTAAGTCAGGTTACAGGAAACGGCAAATGTTATGCTAGCTAATTTCAACTCCCTCAGCTCCTCCTCTTACTTAGCTTGATATTTCCCAATCACTGGAGATGCTTGATCTTCCAAGGCAAGGTAGTAAATTGTTAATCAGCACACTAAATCAAACCTTGTATCACCTTGCGTCGTGACTTATCATACCTGTCCAACATACAAACGTGGAGTAGGGGTCTGTTCCTCAGTTGCAAAAAGTGGCTCCCACATCCAGCCACGTTTCACTCTTCGAACTGTTGTAAAAAACTGATCTGTGTTTTTAGTACTTTGCTTCTGCATGCTTGGAGCACAAGGCCAAATCTGAACCAGCGTCAGCACAAGAGATAGCAATGTGTAGTAATTCATGCTGAAATCTCCTTTCAATCAATTTTCATCTGTAGAAGAGGAGAAACAAAAATATTTAACAAAGTATCACTTCTACCCTCCCTTCTTTACTTATTGATTCTATGCTAATCTAAGAGTTGATTTGTAGTGTTAAAATCTCCCTTTCCTAAAAGGAAAGAGCTGGAACAAAGTCTGTTTCTGATTAAAATAGAAATTCTTTTAGAGACTCAGAGGCGTAAAAGTCAAGTGTTCAACTTACTTTTATGAATATCCTACACAGGGACTTTCTATGCAAAAAAGGAAAACCATCCTTCAATTAATTCATCTTCCAAATTAAGCTGGGTAATTGTATTGCGTAGCCTAGCAATAATTTGATTGGAATAATTGTATGTTTCTGCTTAGACAGGGCTCATTTTAAGCTGCAGTCACAGAACTGCCTGCAGGGTGAACAACTAGCCTTAGTGGCCCTAATGACTGACAGCTGAAACAGAGGAGTTCAGTTTTTTTTTTAACCTTTTCTTTCCCTCTTTTCCAACTGAGCAAAATGCCTGCAAAAGTGCCAAATGAGCTACTGTGCCATGAAGAAGAAGCAAAAATGTGCACAACTCTCCTTCTTTGTCAATAGGAATTAAGTGTCATATCCTATTCTACCGCCTGCGACATTCTTGTCTTTAATTAAACAAAGAGTAAACGTATCCTGGAAGCCCTAGGGTCTAGCAGCTAGTTTAATTGGCACAAAGAATTCTTTCAGAAAACTAAGGTTTTTCACAAACTATGTGCTACGGATGTCCAGTGCTTTTTGGCAAAACTAACAAAACTCCCGATTCTAAATAAGGTGCAATGTTTGGCTGAGAATGGCCATGTTCTGCGGGGTGAAATAGAGAATTGTGAAGTTCCATATTACGCACTTTTTACTTCTTAAAACCTTACTTAAAGAATAATATTTCCTATGCAGGTTTACAAATTTATTCCATATTAGTCATTTTGTACAACACATTGGAAAAAATATTTGGCTGCATTTATTTTAGGCCTGAAAACTCCATGAGCCTTTTTACCTGTCAAGGATAAAATGTGAATTAATATATTTTTTAAGATGATGATTGAAACACTAATGCTATAAACAATATCTTTTCTTATGCAAAGAGAAATATCATATTTGCTTAAAATGACAGAGATGTCACACAGACATCACTTTCCTTCTTTCCTTGCATACAAATGTTTTTTGAGGAACAGATAAAGGAATTCTAGTAGCAAGGCATAAAGAACTATAAGTCTTAGGCTTCTGATTTCAATTTCTTGGGTTTTCTATTTTTCAACTTTATAACAGTGCAAGAGAAGTTTTGAATGGAAGGAAAGGGAGTTAGGTATGCTCTCACTTCAGTTTTATGTGGAAGATGATTGCTTATTTTCCTGAAGCTACAATGATAATATTTGTGGCATGGAAGATGAGGCCCATAAAAGTTCAGCCCGGGTCTCAAATAAAGCCTAAATGAGGCTTAAAAGGCCACAAAGTCTTGAACAGTCTCTCTGTACATAGAGAGCATTTCACTCTAAGCACTAATTTGCACAGAATCTGCTACTGAAAATAAGTTTTCATTTTATTGCAGTACACAGCAAAAGACAGACAACATTAAAAAAAGATAAGTAGTTCAATAGTCAAAGAGGGCTTTCAGAGAAATTGTAAAGAAAATTATTTCCGTCACTATATAAATGAGGAGACAGGTGTTCAGTCTGAGCCATAGCAAATGCTGCTGGCTACCCATTAGCTTGTTTTTCAAGCATTTGTTCTGACACTGCCCACCTAGTTCAACAAAGTATCCTAGTCCTGTAGGCTAATATTTCATGCAGACTGCATTGCAAGCACATTATTGTTAGCAAACTCATGACAGACTCTGTGTGTATTCACATCAACCTAATAAGGGTACAGAACATGACTACACTGGTCTGCTGTTGCCCGCCTTTTGGCAACGCACTCAGCGGTTACCCATCAATGACTGACAACTTAAAAAACGCAATTAACTTTTGGTCCATTTCAGCGTTCCCTCTCTCCTAAGCTGTGTTAATAGCCTATGATATATGCATTCAAGTATCACAGCTGTAACACGTGGGGGAGAATAAACATTTTCAGATTTTGAGATGTCGCATACTCTTCATTATGTGTATATAATTTCTTTTGCTTATAAATATATATTTTAAGCAAATTATTGTGAAAAATGTAAAAGTGTATTATGGAATTGAGGGTTGTATGTCGTTCTGTTTTTCTCTTCACTGCGACATCAGACATACTCCATTAGCCTTTAATTTCAAGAATTTTCAAAGCATATTTCCTTTCAGCATCTTCCTACCGTTTGGCATTAAAAATCTGCCTCCAGCCTCTGGTTAGCACATGTTGCCCATTCTCTATAAATCCGATTGTTCACTTGTGAAACAATCACCTTCCTACCATTCTCCAAACTGTAATTCATGCTCAGAAGTAACTCTTGGAAAGAGTTATTTCTTATCTTTCCTTAAAAAAGTGAATTTTGATGTTACTCATTTGAAAAAAAAAAAGTTTAAGGTGATTCTGTGCTGAGAGTGCTGCCTATCA